CCCCAAAACCCCAAAACCCCAAAACCCCAAAATTATTAATATCATTGAAAACTGTATTAATCGTCCCACTGTTTAAATGATCTTAAAAACACACGAAATATTGTAATTGTGTCAGAAGAACTTCCAGTTCAGATTTAAATGTTATGTAGAATATTTAGTTATTTGTCCATGTTCGTTATCTTGTGAAGCCTCTTCAAACTTCTTTCTTGGTACAGATGGTTACAAGCAGCCTTAAGCCCATCAAGTGTTTTGCCTCTGAAGTTCTCCAATAGTTTGGGGTAGTCTAAGTCTTTGTAGTTATTTTTTCTGATGAGTCTTTTCAGGAGCTTGGTTTCTCTCACAGAAAAGTTGTCATTGGTATGACAGATGAGTCTGTTGATCAGGAACTCACATGACTTGTCTGTTCCTAAGGTGCTCCTGATTGTGTTGATGATATCATGAGGAGAATCCCAAGCATCCATATCTAGCTTCTTGAGCTCTTCTAATCAGATGAGACCTTTGAGTTCGAATTTTCTAAATTCGTTAAAGAGCTCGATGTCCTGTTTCTTGCCCCATCGTTTGCCTTTGGGAACATTCTTAGGAGTTGTCAGTGAAGTTGGAGCAGGATCTTCATACTTCTGGTCAGCCTCTCAGATATCTGAGAATGTCTGTTTGTCAACAATTCCTTCTAAATATTTGAATTCAAACATCGGAGCAGATTCTGGAACGTTCTTGTCATAGAACTCTTCTTGGATGAGCAAATTATCATCCACACGCTGATTATCCATAAAACAATCATTAAGTAAATCTTGTTTAGGAAGTCTGAAGATTCCTTCATTGCTACCTTCATTAATTGTGTTCAAAATGTTAAAACTATCAACAATCTGGTTGCCATTGATGATACCTGAAGCACCGTTGCACAGAGCTAAATCTTCTTCAAAGTCAGGTTTGAAATCCTTGATGGGGAAATATAAGTCCGAAGTGGAATGGTCACCCTCAACTAGGGATTTAACCACAGACTCTTGGTTATTTGGTTGGATATCAGTTGATATGTATTTCATTAATTTTATTATTAAAGAACAGGAAAATTTCTCTTATATCCATTTCAAATTACAACTGACTTTTCTTTCCGACATGAACTTCATGAAAATTGAACAGAATTGAAGGGTGGCACATAAAAAGTTAAGACCAAGTTATAAGAGGAGTAAATGGACTCAGATAAACCAATATTATAAAGAAATTATCACAAAGTACTTTTTCTGAGATATTACTAATTCTTCAATTCTGATATTTTTCATCCGTTCAAATAGTTTCTTAGAAGGAAAAGCATAAAGATTTTGTTGAAAGCCTCAATTAATAATCTTGCTATTATTGACCATAATGACTGGTGTAAATACTTTTTACCACATTGCCATGAAATGCAATCCCATGTATTAAGTTATTCTTCAATACCGATGATAAAGTTGTTGGAAGGTGCAAATGTGTATCTGGTACTATCGCAACCTTTATTTTCAAACTTTCTATTTTTGATCAATTTCATCTGCATTCTCTTCTAGCATCCTTTTTTCACAAAATTCGACCCATAGTACTTATTGATCAGGATTATAAGTTTCTTGCTCTTCATGGTTAAAGCTGAAATTACTTATTTTCAATAAAGGGAAGTTAGTATGGGGTTTTGGGGTTTTGGGGTTTTGGGGTTTTGGGG